TAAAGAATATCTCTTTGGATTTGACACTTTAGTCTTTGCAACTTTACAGATCTTCTTTATGCACCAAGAGCTTGTAACACTCCAAAGAGAAAGGAAAACTTGAAATCGCATCATATGACCCCTTTAAGACTGGTTTTGTGCTCCAGGCTCATATATATGCATGCAGTGAGCTAAATGCACATCTATGCAATGAGCACATTTTTATTTTCAGAATTTGTATTTATTTTGATATTTTCAGAGTGAGAAAACTGTCCTTATATCATAATAAATAAAAAATACAGTATTTGAGTTTTATTTGAATTTGCCATAGTATTTTGTTATAAATATAAAATAAATAAAATATGCATATGAAATATAATATAATATAATATAATATATGCAAATAAAATGAAATGTAAAAAAAAGGTACACACACTCAATAATCAACATCAATTATGTTACATAAACCTCTCCAGTTCAAAGGAAAGGAGACTATTGTTTTACTCTCCACTTTTTACTCTCATTTAGCATTCATTTAGCAGTCAAATCCCTGACTTCCATTGAGGTCTTTTCTACAGGATTTCATAAGCAGGATTAATGTTGTCTCCGTGCTGGCGCGTGTTTGAAGTGTGGGCCTACTGTGTCTTTGTAAGGAACCCTTAATGAGAAACAAGTGGATTAAATGCACAAAAAGGTCATTAAGCAGATGAGTTGAGGGAGTTTCTGCTAGGACTCGCTGCTTGATGTGAACGGGCCGAGTCTCAAAGCGTGTTCAGTCTACAAGCTTTTGCTCTTCCTCCCTCTTGTTCTCCACATTCTCTCCTCCACCTCCTCCCACGACCACAGAGGGAAGATAATGGGCCTCATATATGGGCCATCCATCAGTGCCTTAAACTACAGAAAGAAGTTATGCGCTCTTTCCCTCGCACAATAACACATACACATTTGGGAAAAAGAGGCAACAATGACCTCAAGAGTTAAAAATGTGACGGATGCAAGACGGATAATCTATCTGACACCTCACTTTGCATCCAGTGGAGCCATTTATATTCCATATTATTTTAGAACACTGTTTTCACCTTCCATCTGCAGATAAACACAACCCCGATATGCACATTTGTCTTCAGTGAGGGATGTGAATTCTAGAAGTGAATTAGGAGAGAAGGATTTATTGAGGAAAAACGAAAGATAGCATCTTTTTTCTTCTCTTTCTGGCATGTTTTTTTTACTCTCTCTCTTTCTCCACCACGATAGATAGATAGATAGATAGATAGATAGATAGATAGATAGATAGATAGATAGATAGATGGATGGATGGATTGGTTGATTGGTTGATTGTTTATAAATGCTCTTCATTGTACTTTTTAATTTAAAAATACCACAGTTTCCACAAAAATATGAATCAGCAAAGTTATGCGCATTTTCCCTTACCGTCTCGCACACACACACACACATACAGTACATTGGGGAAAAAGAGGCAAAAATGACCTCAAGAGTTAAAAATGTGACGGATGCAAGACGGATAATCTATCTGACACCTCACTTTGCATCCAGTGGAGCCATTTATATTCCATATTATTTTAGAACACTGTTTTCACCTTCCATCTGCAGATAAACACAACCCCGATATGCACATTTGTCTTCAGTGAGGGATGTGAATTCTAGAAGTGAATTAGGAGAGAAGGATTTATTGAGGAAAAACGAAAGATAGCATCTTTTTTCTTCTCTTTCTGGCATGTTTTTTTTACTCTCTCTCTTTCTCCACCACAAGGCAACTCCACGCGAGATGTGGGACCGTCGTTGGGTTTGAAGAAGTCGAGTTCCTTGGAGAGCCTCCAGACGGTGAATTTACTGCATTTTTGATCAAATAAGTGCAGCCTTGGTGAGACTTCTTTCAAAAACATAAAAAAAAAAAAAAAACTTAATTATTCCAAACATTTGACCGGTGATGTGTGTGTGTGTGGATTATTATTCTTTTTTTTTTCTTGTATTTTTTTCAATCAGTGCAAGTGTTTATGTGTAGCATCGTAATAAGATTAGATAATTGTATTGCATTACAAAATAGGTTAAAGGACTTTGTGTTTAATGATCAATTTTAGTTCTTTTTAGACCAAATTGTCCTTTTAAAATAAAAGATTGCAATGAAATAAAGACCGTCGTTGGGTTTGAAGAAGTCGAGTTCCTTGGAGAGCCTCCAGACGGCTGTTGCCGAGGCGACGCTCAACGGAGACGTCTCGTTCCACAGGCCACGCCCCAGAATCATCAGGGGGCGGGGCTGCAACGAGAGCTTCAGGGCGGCCATTGACAAGTCTTACAACAAGCCTGGTGTGACCGTGGTCAACCCCGATGAAGATGACGAGGGCATGGACACATGTAAGTATCGGGGGGGGGGGAAATCATTTGAGGGATTTGAATCATATCTAGAGACTAGGATATCATGAGTTGTGTACCAATTCACATTCTATCCATCCTAAATAGTATTTGACATTAGTGTGTCCCAGACTGTAGTATGTTGAAATGAATATCCCGGATGGTTTACTATTGAAAATTCGAAGTAATATTGTCCATAAGCCATTGCACATTGGAAGCGGATTTAGTTTAAAATTACGAACACTGATAAAAAGTGTTAAAAAAACTACAAACATGGCAGATATGCGAGACCAGCAGATAAGTACAGAGGTTTAGGGTCCGTTAAACGACACTATTTTCACCTAAAAATGTAAAACGTTTTATGCATTTTGGTCGTTCATTTACACAACAATGGTGTTTTGGGGGCCTGAAAACGCAAACTTTTGAAAACGGGTTTCATAGTGCACGTTTTTGAAAACGATGCAATTTTCGTCTCTGTGTAAACTACAAAAATGTGAATTTGTGAAAGTGGTGACTTGATGCGCATTACGTGTTTAGTCGGTAGGAATGTGCACAGACACGTAGATTATCTTTACAAAGTGACATCGCCATCTACTGGCCTGGCACGCATAATGCAGTTTTTTTTAGTCGTTTTCGCAGATCAACGTTGTCGTCTGTATGCAAAACTTTTCAAAAACGTTTAAGTTTTTAGTACATCGTTGTCGTGTAAACATACCCTTAAGATAAAGTGTTTGCAACAATATCTAATCTGATGAAAAAAAAATAATAATAATAATGTTACCCACATTATATTTCATCTGCAGCAGCATTGCAAACTTTCATAAAGATACATTTGGTCATTCACTTTTAAATGCATCATTTTGCAAACACATGAGGAGAGTTCTCAGCATGAAAGACACGTGACTGGCAGATCAACGTGCCACTTCATTTCTCTCCTATATGGTATGAAATTAAATTAACTAAAATGTGGAGGATTTTAATTGTGACAAGAAGATTGTCAGGCTGCCCACTATTCTGCTACACACTCAAAAGTCTGTACTTTTTCTTCACAAAAAGAGTACATACTTTTAGAATATTATATAAGTAGGCGAACTGGGATGCAGCAATGGTCTGTACTTGGCCCAGTAAGAAACCGCTCAGATTACTCTAGCAACCATTGAAAATACTCTGGTAACACCCTAGCAACCACTAGCATAGCAACATAATCTCGGTCTCATTAGAGCGTGCGCCAGTGATTCCGGTGTGCAACGACAAACATGGCGCGAGCTGATTTGTCAAATTATGAATCTTTTTTCTTTCTTTTAATGAGTCAGTCAAAATAATTCATGATACATCTTCACATTCACTTTTGCATTACCAGTTTGAATGAGAATCATTCACTGACCTGTGAGTCTTTTTTTTTTTTTTATCTCAAAATGAGCTAGGGGCCAGTTGCACCAGTGTGCTTGAGTTACAACTTAGCCTACTTTTGACGTAAATGGAGGTAAACGTATGCATTAAACACACACAGATTACGACTGAAAGCATCGTGTTACTCGTAGTCTGGAAAACAGCACATAAATGGCGCATCATGGCGGTGAGTTTTGCATGAACAAAAAATACTCATCTTTGTAAACATAGCAGTCTAGTTTGATCATTATTTAGTCCAGCCAGTGCATCATCATCTACTTTCTTAACCTCCTGTTTTCTCTTTATATTGAAAATGGCAACTCATGTAATCACAGCTATTACCATAATTGCGCAGGCACAGTAAAGGCGATCTGACACAATATCAATGCCAATTTCATCAGTTGTCTCACACAATGACTGGCCCAGAATATTATGAGTCGCCCGCCAAATGAGGTTCACTTTATAGACGGCTCTCAGTAGAGAAACAAGGCAGCGAGTCTCACGAGGACATCTTGTGCTGTTCTGAAGATTAGACTAGCAGAAGAGATCCTCCTGCTGTAAGTAGGTCAGGCCTTCCCTCAAAGCCCAGAAAGGAAATAAACAGCCAATGAGCATGTGTATAACTTTCACTATTCATTTCGTCCATGACCAAATGAATTTCCAGACGTCCTCGCTGGGCATTTTTCTCAAATGGGACCTGGGTTTTAAAGGGATATTTCTCAATGCTCGCAGACTCAGTGATTTACTAAATGCGTTTGGGTTCATTTTTACGGTTCATCGATTGCTTGCAGCTGCAATTTGTATTATTTTCATATTTTAGATAGTTTAATTTATTGACCCATTTTAAAATGTTTCAGTGCCACAGTTTCCTGCACTGAAGGTGTTTTTTTTTTGTGGCATAATAAGTAAGGAATCAGATTATATATATATATATATATATATATATATATACACAGTACTTGTCAAAGGTTGTAGACATTATGATTTTTAAATGTTTTTTATTGAAGCCTCTTCTGCTCATCAAGGCTGCATTTATGTGCTCTAAAATACAGTAAAAACAGCAATATTTTGGAAAATTATTGCAATTTAAAGGGGTCATATGATGCACCAAAGAGAAAGGAACAATTGAAATCGCATCATATGACCCCTTTAAAATAACTGTTTTCTATGTGAATATCTGTTAAATTGTAATTGATTTCTGTGATCAAAGCTGTATTTTCAGCATCATTACTCCAGTCTTCAGTGTCACATGATCTTCAGAAATCATTCTAATATGCTGATTTGCTTCTCAAGAAACATTTCTGATTATTAGCAATGCTGAAAATACTTATGCTACTTCATTTTTATGCAGAAACTACAATTCAAGTGTGTATGTGTGTGTGTGGGTTTAATGGAATTGAATGGGTTTTTTTTCAGAAAACATTCATTAAACTGATCAGAAGTTGACAGTAAAACATTTATAACATTACAAAAGATTTTCAAATAAATGCTGTTCTTCTGAATCTCTTTCTTCTGAAAAATAAGAAAGTTTTTTAAAATGTTTTAACATTAATATTAGAGTGCATAACAGCATTATTAGAATGATTTCTGAAGATCATGTGACACTGAAGACTGGAGTAATGATGCTGAAAATTCAGCTTTGATCACAGAAATAAATTACAGTTTAACAGATATTCGCATAGAAAACAGTTCGAACCCAGAGTTGTGTTAGAATGAGTTTATGAAGTCTGTCCGACAAACCTGTCTAGCTAATAACACTTGCCAGGGGGCAAATTCATGCCATCCCTTTGTTCTCCATTAAAAGATTCCATTAAAAGCAAGCAGAATTTATTTTTTTCAAAAGAGTCAAATTATTTGCCTCAATCACTTTGTACTTGTAAGCTGTGTCCACATTGAGCTGAATACTGTCTTATCACTTCGGCGGAGCAATAGAGGGCAAATGCGTGAGATCCCGCCGTAGAAACATATTGCATTTCTCGCCATCCAATATTCAAATAACTCTGTTTTTCAATTTAGATAAGAGGAACCTGCCTGAGCCTGTCACCGAGGTTAATAGTCAAAAGTTGACAGATAAGGGCAGGCTTTTTCTTTCCACACACTTTTATTTACATAGCATGTGAATTTGGCATCACCCGAGGAAAAATGTGTCACTGGGAGATATCCAGCAGGGAAAATGAGTTGGGCTGTGTTTCATTGTGGTTTATGTTTTTTTAAATATCAGACTTAAATGCGCTCGGCTCTTTTTCCCACCGGGAATAATCCAGAGTGGCAATTTCAAGACTCCATTAGAAGTGATCGGCGTTCTAAAGAAGAAATGAATACCGTGGCACGTCAAAAGGAGACGACTAATGATGCCTTTTGATTGCGGTGTCAAAACATTTACCACTCAGTCCTGTGTAGCTGAAATTTGCCGTTAATTACCGTAATTCATTTCTTTTTACATTTCAGTCAACAATTAGCAGAACCGTAACTTACTGTGATAACCGTTTTAATGAAAACACCATTGATCTGTGAAGTCGCTGCTGTATTGACTGCGACTCTATAGGCATGAATCTTCTTTTTCAAGTTAATTGGGATGTTTATAAATGAGAAGAGCCCTGTCCAATGCATTTTTCCCTGTGTTATTGGATACACTTTATCTCGATAGTCCACTTTAGACATTCTACTAACTATAAATAACTTTGCAATTGCATGTCAACTACCTCTCTTTAACTTTCTACATCAGTGTGTTTTTGCTTTTTTGTTTTTATGCAGTTTATGAAGGTGCTGTAAATCGATTAGTTGGTCACACTTTATTTTAAGGTCCAATTCTCACTATTAACTAACTATGACTATGACTTTTGCCTCAATAAACTCCTAAGTTGCTGCTTATTAATAGTTAGTAATGTTTTATTAACATTGACATCTCAGAAAGTTGTGGGTTAATGAAAGTTCAAAGACATTTCCACTCGTAATTATGACTTTGTGGTGGCCATCATGTGCTTTTAACTCGTAAATTAAATCTTTCTGACATGACTTAAAGAACCTAAAGTTTTTAAAGCTAGTAGAATGTCTAAAATGTACTATAAACATTGTTTATCTATAACATAACTAATTGCATTGCTTACTAATAACAATAACTGGTGTTACTTACTTGATAAAGTAACTCAGATATTTTCTTGTAAATTTAAAAGTAACATATTACTTTACTAGTTACTTGAAAAAGTAATCTGATTACGTTTTCCCCAACACTGATTATTATTTTCAATTTCATCTCCTGAGATCCCATCTTTCTCAAGGCCAGATTGAAATTTTTGAACTTTTGTTGATGCTCAGACTGTCCAAAATCCTTATCAGACGCGCTCTCTGAGACAGCATTAGAAGGTGTAGAAATGAGCTTGGACGCCTTTGCTCTCAGCCATCCGATAAGCACCCGCTGAGAAAAAAAAAAGAGAGAGATAAATGATATCCAACTAAACCTCGTTAGCATTATTATCATCTCCTGAGCTCAGAAAGGTTTGGATTTATAAAAAAAAAAGGCAAGAAAAGAATTCCATAATTGTTTAATGCACTGATTTCACACACTCTCCTTGTCTTATGCTGATCCATTTGGATATTGTTTCAGTAGATGGCAGAATGACAGAAAACACTGGTAGCGAATTGCACAAGTGAATAAAACAATAGAAACGAGTACCCACCCTCTTCCCCTCACTAGCATTAAACCACTCATCTGAGCATGCCGAAATATCCGTGATGCTCTCTCGCTTTCATGAGGCCTTTCTTCCAGCCATCAGAGTTCTCACTCACGTCAGAGATTTGTTGGTTATTAATAAGCTGTAATCACACAGGCATCTGTCTCCAGCGCCACATCTCCGCCATTACGTGGCTCTATTCAAAAGCACTTTGCTTTTAGTGCCTTCTAATTTTTTCCTCCTTTCTGAGCGTTTTTAAACTTACAATTAGTGACGAATTAATCACGTCCAGACCATCAGGAATGGAGACAGTATCTGTAATCAGACGCTTGCTGAAATGCAAATGAGCAATATCAGCCAGCTGCGGTCCCTTATGATTATACTGATATGCGGCGTATCACGAAGATAGGTGGTGGAGGATGAATTAGCATTGCTAACGATACTTGAAAATAAAATGTTCCCACTGACAGTCGCTCGCTTTTCCAAAACAGCATCAGAGTACTTGCATTAATATATAATTAATGAAATACATCATCCCATTGACTGGAATCCATAAAATCAGCGTTACAAAATTCATAGACTATCAGATGTTAAGAGTGCTCTCGGAAGAGATGAACTCGTTGTCTTCCAAGTAAATATTTTAATAGTGTGGTGACGTGATTAAAAAAAAACCCTGTTAGCAAAGCAATTCTTTCTGGAATGATCGCAAACACAAAACGTGGTACACATTCAGCAGTGTTGGGGAAAGTAACTTTTAAAAGTAATGATTTGCAATATTGCGTTACTCCCTAAAAAAGCAACTAATTGTGTTACGAAGTTACTTTTTATGGAAAGTAATGTGTCACATTACTTTCGCGTTACTTTTTCTCATCTGGCCTGGGCTTGCTTGTTTGTTCTTAATATAAAAAAGTTCTATTTTTGGCAAATGCAAGAGCCCTTTCACACCAAAAGTGAAACGAATGCGCCTCAGGCTGAAGGGAATGTAAATTCAGATCTGTACAGTAGAGGGCGCAGCTCAAACAAACCTTTCAGATGTGCTGCTATTCTGGATTACATGAAGAACAGGACGCAGGAGAAGAAAGTTCAGCACTCTTCAGCAATAAAAAAACAAAACAAATGAAACGCAAATGTTATGGTTATTTAAGGTAATTTTTGCTTATTATTATGGCTGAATTGAATCATCAAAGGTCAGCGGGAAAGATATTGGTTAATAAACTGGGATTGAACACAAAGTATATGTGTGTTATTTAACATATTTAATTATTGCAGGTTTGCGCATTTCACTGTCTTTATTCACTTTGAGGAATACTGAGTCTGTTTTTGTGAGATGAGCAAACGCATGTTCATTTAGTCTAGATCTACACTAAGCATCATGTTCACACAGCGCACACAACGCCTCTGCACTCACTTCTGATTTCTCTCAATATGCGGACAGGAGAGCTGCAGTCAATAAATGGGAAAACAAAGTAACTGGTGTTACTTATTTGAAAAAGTAACTGAGATATGTTCTTGTAAATTAAAAAGTAATGTGTTACTAGTTACTTGAAAAAAGTAATCTGATTACGTAACTTACTATTATTATTATTATTATTATTATTATTATTATTAAAATATGCATTTGACTGAAACGGTGGTTTCAGTTGAATTACTGTTAAATAAATCACTAGATATTTTATTTTATTATTTGATTTGATTGAAAATGTTAGTGTAAATGTTAGTGACATTTGCCTGACAAAACAACCACCTTAATAATAATAATAATAATAATAATTATTATTATTATTATTATTATTATTATGATTATTATCATCATCATCATCATCATCATTATTATTATTTTATTTAACCAGCAAGTAGCCAGGGCATTGCTATGTGGTTGCGGGTGGTTGATGGTGTGTTTTTAGTGGATGCTAGTGTTTTGGTTTTGGTGGAAATGTTTTATTTGGCAAACCTAACCCTGTGTGACTAAGTGTTGCTCTTTCTTAAGAGCTTGCAGTGACTTACACATAGTCTGACTTCAGCGTTCATGTTTATCTATCTCTCCTGTTTTCTCCACCATCTCAGTGGAAGAAGATACAGAGGAGAGTTCCCGATCAGGCCGCGACTCCATTTCCACAGCCACGGATCTCTCCCTCCCACCCTCCAACACAGAGAAACAGCTGAATGGAGGACACACCAAAGAGGACAAGAAGAAGGAGCGAGGAGGGAAGGACAAGAAAGACAAGAGCAAAGCCAAGAAAGGCGTGCTGAAGGGCCTGGGCGACATGTTCAGGTAGGGTGAATGGCCTTATGTGCTCAAATCACTTGATTCAGCTAGAGTTAACATAATGTATTGAGTATTTGGGAGTCCCTGGTAGGATACTAATAGGAAGACCTTGCCTTGATATTTTATTTTATTTTATTTTATTTTATTTTATTTTATTTTATTTTATTTTATTTTATTTTATTTTATTTTATTTTATTTTATTTTATTTTATTTTATTTTATTTTATTTTATTTTATTTTATTTTATTTTATTTTATTTTATTTTATTTTATTTTATTTTATTTTATTTTATTTTATTTTATTTTATTTTATTTTATTTTA